GAGCTTCTTTTAATCAGTAAGGATGCTGCCACTTTTGTTTCACGTTGTTGTTAGTCCCTCCATCACTCTGCCTGAAAGGGGCTTCTTCATGGTTATTTCTCATGGTATTTAACTGAAATTTACTATATGAAGGTAAGAAAGACTGTTAAAGTTGATAAACCACCATTATGATGGCAAAGTAGTTGTTAGGATTGATGTGGTACTGCAGATGAAGAATCATACGTTTGTGAAATGCCATAAGAATGGATCAATACCTTTGGATAGAATAGAATAGAATAGAATAGAATAGAATAGAATAGAATAGAATAGAATAGAATAGAGTAGAGTAGAGTAGAGTAGAGTAGAGTAGAGTAGAGTACAGTAGAGTAGAGTAGAGTACAGTAGAATAGAATAGAATAGAATAGAATAGAATAGAATAGAATAGAATACCTATATTCAATTTCCCCCTAAATTCCACTCAGTTTCTTTTAGTATGACCATTCACTGGAGCTAACAGGCAACCACAAGCAGCCTACAGATCCTATTTCCCTATTCATCCATAAAAGTCACATGGTCCAAAGTCAAATTTACCAACACACATTTTATACCTTCACTTATTTGAGGTGTATGTGTGTGTGTGTGCGTGAATAAATAAATAAAATATTTTCACATGTTTATAAATTCCATGCCACAAGACCAGATCCTTCAGATCTATTGTATTACATCTTGCCCTTTCTTTTTTGTTCCTTTTCTTTTCATTTCAAAGGCATGCGGCATATGTATCTATTATTCTTTTACTCATTTCCTATGGTAATTTATATGTGCTAATTTATAATTTACTCATCTTACATTCCAGATCACAGTCCTCCATGTGTCATAGCCATTATCTGATGGACCCATGGATACTGATTTCCATTGCCAATTATGGCTTTGATCAGTTAAAACTGTCACATAGTTTATATATCACTAGGTATACAGTGTATATAAAGGTAAAGGTTCCTCTCATACATACGTGCTAGTCGTTCCCAACTCTAGGGGGCGGTGCTCATCTCCGTTTGAAAGCTGAAGAGCCAATGCTGTCCGAAGACGTCTCCGTGGTCATGTGGCTGGCATGACTAAATGCCAAAGGCGCATGGAACGCTCTTACCTTCCCACCAAAGGTGGTCCCTATTTTTCTACTTGCATTTTTACATGCTTTCAAACTACTAGGTTGGCACAAGTAACGGGAGCTCACTCTGTTACGCGGCACTAGGGATTCGAACCGCTGAACTGCCAACCTTTCAATCAACAAGCTCACGTCTTAGCCACTGAGCCACTGCGTCCCTATACAGTGTATACACACACACACAAATGCACATATGTATGCGTGCGCACGCACGCACGCATGCACGCACGCACGCACGCACAAACACACACACATACACATCAGAGGTTGTATTCAGCCGGTTTAGCCCTGGCTCTATGCTGTCCTATTTAGGCACATTTTTGAGGCTGGGCACATGCATGGACGGCAGGCACACAGACAAATCAGATGCGCTTCGAGTGGGGGTGGGGAACGAGTAGTAACAAAATTTGAAGCCCACCACTGATACACATACGATAAGGGCAAAATTAGTTGAGGGATATTTGCTACAAGCACAACCAAAACCTTCCAAGCATGTTAAGACTATTATATTAGGATCTCTAATCTAAAGGCTATCTTGCAAACAAACATGCTGTTGTAAAAGAGCATAAAAAAGCATATAAAGAGCATCTAAGAAGGATGCCTATATACACCAAGGGTACATATTGAAAAACCAGACGGTTTTCTTTCTGTACATGAGATCTCATCATGTTTCTAACCTTTTTCCAAGGTGTTTTAGGATTTCTTTTGAAAGTATCTCTGAGCTTCTTTTAATCAGTAAGGATGCTGCCACTTTTGTTTCACGTTGTTGTTAGTCCCTCCATCACTCTGCCTGAAAGGGGCTTCTTCATGGTTATTTCTCATGGTATTTAACTGAAATTTACTATATGAAGGTAAGAAAGACTGTTAAAGTTGATAAACCACCATTATGATGGCAAAGTAGTTGTTAGGATTGATGTGGTACTGCAGATGAAGAATCATACGTTTGTGAAATGCCATAAGAATGGATCAATACCTTTGGATAGAATAGAATAGAATAGAATAGAATAGAATAGAATAGAATAGAATAGAATAGAATAGAGTAGAGTAGAGTAGAGTAGAGTAGAGTAGAGTAGAGTACAGTAGAGTAGAGTAGAGTACAGTAGAATAGAATAGAATAGAATAGAATAGAATAGAATAGAATAGAATAGAATAGAATAGAATAGAATTCTTTATTGGCCAAGTGTGATTGGACACACAAGGAATTTATCTTGGTGCATGCGCTCTCAGTGTACATAAAAGAAAAGATACATTCATCAAGAATCATAAGGTACAACACTTAATGATAGTCATAGAGTACAAATAAGCAATCAAATCGTATTAGTCAATATAAATCGTAAGGATACAAGCAACAAAGTTACAGTCATACAGTCATAAGTGGGAGGAGATGGGCAATAGGAACGATGAGAAGATTAATAGTAATGCAGACTTAGTAACTAGTTTGACAGTGTTGAGGGAATTATTTGTTTAGCAGAGTGATGGCATTTGGAAAAAAACTGTTCTTGTGTTTAGTTGTTCTGGAGTGCAGTGCTGTATAGCGTCGTTTTGAGGGTAGGAGTTGAAACAGTTTACGTCCAGGATGCTAGGGGTCTGTAAATATTTTCACAGCCCTCTTTTTGACTCGTGCAGTATACAAGTCCTCAATGGAAGGCAGGTTGGTAGTAATTGTTTTTTTCTGCAGTTCTAATTATCCTCTGAAGTCTGTGTCTGTCTTGTTGGGTTGCAGAACCAAACCAGACAGTTATAGAGGTGCAGATGGATAGTGAGATAGGTGGCATATAAATTAAATAAATAAACAAACCCACAGTGCTAGTATTACACCAAACAGGTTTTGAATAGCTTAAAAAACCATTGATATTAAATAATGTCCAAAGATATAAAGGCATTCAAAAATTGTCTGTCTGTCTGTCTGTCTGTCTGTCTGTCTCTGTCTGTCTGTCTGTCTGTCTGTCTGTCTGTCTGTCTGTATCTATCTATCTATCTATCTATCTATCTATCTATCTATCTATCTATCTATCTATCTATCTATCTATATCCAGTGCACTTCCTGTCTCTCCAAACACACCACAAGGTGGAGTTGATTGATTATAAATCTCTTTGAGTCAGCCACATCTTGGAAAATGCAGGAGGGCTGCAGTTGTTTCCAAAGCATGTGATTCACATAAAAATCACCAGCACAATAAGTGTAGGAGGATGACAGACTGTTGCACAATTCCCTTATGAATTTGATATGTCTTTTTTCCTCCATCGTTCGCTTATTTATACAATGCGGAATGAAGTACGTCTTGCTTTCCTCCAATGAGTCTGTCCTTCTGGCAACTACCAGCTGTCCTTCCCTCATGCTACACAATGCACAAGATCCCATGTGATCAAGCATCCCTGCTAGATTTCAGCCATTGTTGTGATCTCCATGGGGAATACTGCCACGTGGAAAGGTATTTCACCAGCCACTCCAAGAAGAAAGTTGTTGGACTTTTAAGGCCACGTGACATGTGATGCAGTAGCCTCCATATTTTTTATTTTTATATTCATTTTATTGCTGCTGATGTTCATGGTGTTTCTAAGGAGGGCTTTGAATGACTGGAGCAAAGTCACAGGTAATAGGAGAAATAGCATTCTTCTTTGCAGGAAGTACGTATTAGCTTTCTAGTTGAATTGCCCCTGAATCTGTTGTGAGCTGTGTATAGTGGATCACACCTTATACTACATCCCTGTGGACTTTCCAGCATCCTTCAGGAAAAGTGATTATGATGAGGAAAACACTATGTGAGGAAGGGACATATCTCTGCTTTGTTGAACTCAAGCCTCTTGAACCTGAAAACTCTGAAAAGTAATGCAGAACAAAACAAATGTCCCAGTAAACCAGGTTCATATGTCAGATTCAGCTGTGGATTTCCTCTAGTGGGCATGGTGCCATTTTCAACATCTGTCTCCATTCCCTGCCCTTTACCTGAGATTTTTGCCTTATTGTGCCATTTAACCCTTAAAAATGGATACTACTTTGTATCCCTGGTGTACGGGCCCATCTGGATTAATGTGATTCAAGATGGATGGTGCTTTTTCTGGATTAAACTTTTTTTTTTATGTGTAATCAATTTTGCAAAGCTACCCATCTCAACAAGGGACTCATTGATAAATGACAACAGTAAAATCTTCATAAAATGATGGTATCTCTGTGTATGTGTGCACTTGTCCACTAACTTAGATATATAGCTAACTGAATTGCTCAAATGCTACCACAGGGCCTCCCCCCACTGCTCTGTTGAACTGCTCTTGCTGTTCTGGCATGAGATTTTCTGCTCCCATTGCCAACCATGTCCTACACCCTGTACAGGTAGATAAAACATGCAAAGAATCACATAGGGCAGGGGGATAGGCAGATGATTAAAAATATGCAAAGAATTACATACTTTCTGCAGTCTGTTTTTCTGCTATATAAGATAGATAGATTTATGGATGGATGGATGGATGGAGGGAGGGAGAGAGGGAGGGACAGGCAGGCAGGCAAGCAAAGCTAGGCTGCAAGCATAAAGAATGTGACAACAATATCTTTCTACTGCCACCAAATTTGATACTAAATACTTCTTATTACATAACTTACTCTCTCTGTGTTGCAGTCAAAACTTGTACTCCACTTGCCTCGACTTTACATCTGCGGTTGCATCACAAAAGAGCCTCAGTGTATGCTCTGATTTTGTAGCTGTAATTTCTCAAACCTGGTGCCATTCAGATGTTTTAAATTATATTGCCTATCATCCTATTGTGGTGGTTGGAGCTGATGGCTGTGGTCATTCCCAAACGTCTAGAAAGCACCACATTGTTGAATCCCCAGGGTTGACAACTGAGTTGGGCACAGACAAAAGATTCACATGGCAATTTATTTAATGAAATCAACTTTCCTGCAGATTTCACTGAAAGCCTCTTGGTTAATGTTCTTCCTCGGCAACCTCCTCATCCTCTGAGGTATCCGGATCCTCCAAAGAATCTTCTCCAGACTGATGATTCCAAATCACAGTCAGGTTCATATTCTGCCGAGCTGGGGTTCCATTGTAATGAACGCCACTGGCAAAGAGGCATTGCCGCAAGTTCCAGCAAATGATGTAATAGACAGAAAAGAGCCACAGGACCAGTCCAGCCAGGAAACTGGCAATCAGCAGTCGCGTAGCTGGGCCAATATACTGCTGCAGAGTAAAGTGGTGTAAAGGAAACGGGAGCCACTTCTGAAAGAAAGTCTTCAAGCTCCAACCCTTCTCCTTCAGAAAAGCCTTCCTGGGCTTCTGAATGGGGCCCTGACGGCTTCTACGGATGGGTGTCCTGTTTTCAATCACTAAAAGTGATTTTGGGGCCGCTCCTGTTTGATTTTCCTCCGTATTCCATTTTGGTTCCAAACTCCTGTTCTTGTTGAGGCTCTTCTTTAACTCCCTGGAGACATCAGGGCGCCCAATTTGTCTGAGAGCTCGAGCCAGGCGGTCCCAGTCAATGAAGCCCTTTTGCATCTCCAGCCAGTGGCCTAGACTTTCTTTGCATTGGTCCATGTTGGAGATGCCTTGCCATTGGCTGGAAGGAACGAGTTCTTTCTCCTCCGATAGTTCTGCATCTTTCTGGGTGATGGCAAGTAGAAGACAGAGCTCATGGCATTCTTCTGTGTTCAGGAGCTCCGAGATGCTACCCAAGATGGTGGTTGCTGGACCACTTATTGCCATTTTAATGTAGGAAGTGTACGTGGCCAGTAAGAGGAGGAAGATTCCCATTAGTGCCAACATGGTGGGAGAGATGGGATTAATAACCTTGGATTAAGATCAGCTCTGATATTCTACATTTAGTACTCTGGCTGGCTGGTTGCAGGACTAGTCATGTTGTCTGGCTCCCTTTGTCATCCTTGGACACTCCTCTTCCAGCTGGGGGCCCCTATGAGGTCAGTGAAACCTCATAAGCTGATCTTACAGCTCCTGCCCAGAGGAAATGCTGAGGTTTTTTTGCTAAGTGGACATTTTATGGTTATAAGGAACAAAAAAGGATGGTGTGCATCTAAATGCATCACATCAGAAGCAACAGTACGTTTTGCTAAGTACACATAACAAGGCTGACACACATCCTGATTATAATGAATATCTGGAAACTATTCTCAAATAGCATCTGCAAAAAGCATTATGTATCAGTGATGTTGATCAGTTATAAACTTTGGCACATTGCCTGGTTCTAGATTTCAGTTCCATGCCTTCCAGAATAATTCTTGAGGTTATAGCCTGCTCTATCTGGAAATATTCAGATTTGGGAAGGATGCCCCAGAGTATATCAGCAAAGCTACCTACTAGGTAATGGGAAATACACAAACAGGCCAAGCTGAAATGGAAAGGCTCACCTTTCCATTTGCCAATTATTCACATCACATTTTGAAAGCAGCAACCTCTGACCTTTCTAATTGTCCTCAGTATTTACAGAACTCAGATGATTTCAGCAAGTATTGTCTTTGGTTTGCAAGTTTGGATCTTGCAAGGAACAATGTTAACCAATCATTGTTAATGCTGTATCAATTTGAACTAGCTAGTAGCGATGATAGAGAATGTTGGTCAGTTAGTGTTCTTTTTTTTCTTTCAATAGTTGAGTGTTCTGCATGGGAGCAGTAAGCAATACATAAATTAATGAAGATCCTTTCACCTTCTCTTCACACACACACACACAGCAAATTACTAGCTTCCCTACCCCCAGGTCTGTGTATTTTTCCACTTGTACTTAGAACCTATTTGCCTGGTGATTTCAAAATATTTCATGAATCGGACATCTATGGGAATGATTGCTGTTATAACTCTTAAGAAATGCAAGGTTTATAGTTCTCTATGATGCCAGATATAGACTGCTGAACAAGACTTGTGGAAGCAAAAATTTATTCAAGGGCATTTTCCAGGAACAAGGATTCTGGGGGCAAATGATTCAACTGGGTCAACTCAAATGCTAATAAAGAGCTGGATAGTGGAGGATGTGTGACTGACAATTAAAGGAGAGAATATGTCTTTTAAAATGTGGATTTCATCCATTTTTTTGAAATGAAACGAACTGTGCCGACCAGCCAAAATCCAAAATTAAATCAGTATGGATCCAAATTCCGTACATTTTGGATGTTTAAAACGGATTATTATTGGCACCATGGTGCTAGAAGATGGTGCTAGAAGATGCTACAAGGGACTACTGGAATGGGACTATGTTTTCTCTGTGTTAAATGCCATGTCAAGCCTGGCTGCTGTTTTATTCCCTTCAGCTTCCTCTTTTGTCTTATGTCTCTTCTCATCCTCTGCCCTTTAGTATCTTTGGTGGGATTGCTGCCTTCTATGAGAACATAGTCCATCAGTCCTTCCGTAACTCATGCTAGGTCTTTATGACTGTTTCTTTGTTGTTTTGACTGCCTTATTTAACATGGTATGAAAATGGGTTTTAATTATCTGAAATTCTACATGTCCACATATCTATTTCAAAATAAGTTCCTTTCCTTATTTATTCCTAGGAAAATATTCGTAAGGAAGCTTTCTTTCTATTGAATAGTGTCCCTCTCAGAAAAAGTAGATATGCTGTCTTAAGTTTTGTAGAATCTAGGCAAGTGTAGTAACATTAGATGAAGCTTCTCCTAGGCAATCAGAAGAACAAAGCAAGCAGGCCAGTGGTGGGTTGCTATTGGTTCACCCTGGATCGGCAGGAGGCTCCGCCCACCCACCCGGACTTCTGCAGATGCACAGAAGTGTTGCGCACACGCACAAGTGCGTGCACACCCACAAGCAAACTGGTAGCGGCCGAAATTGAAACCCACTACTGAAGCAGGCAGAAGATCAGACAGAAATTAGACAATTTGAAGAGAAATTTTGGGTGGCCACTCTACAGAATCCTCTAAGAGGGTCACCATATTTTTAACAGGATGGTTAGAAACCTCCTGGTTACTCCCTGATGCTATTAATTGCTAACTGTTAATTGTTTCAGGATTCGCTTGCAATTTTTAAAACTCTTTCATTATATTTATTGCAGTGTTGGTCTTTTTCTTGTGTTCGATCTTGGCCTCCAAACTTTGATTGATAACTTGGAGCTTTTTGCAATAAAATTTAGCCAAGCCAGAAAAATACAATTCAATCCAGAAAATACAAGAAATGCTGAAGTACAAATGCTGAAACCAGGAAGATAATCCAGGGTCCATCCAAGGCAGGATTCAAGGTAAGATGGTCACAAAACATGCAAGGCATGTATTTTGTTTCCAACATCGTGTCCTGTATGGGGAGTTTTATACCCAAAGCTTTACACCTTCAGCACAGCTGGCATACATTGAACTCACTTGGAATGCAAGGCCATTCAGGAGCAATAGTCATTCACAAGTGGGGTGTTCTTCTATCTTAAGGAGATTTTCCTTGCAATCTTATGCTTCTCGTTAGAAGCTGATGCTCACGAATCTGTAGTTATGGCCATTCCTCTAGCTCTAGAGCAGTGTTTCTCAACCTTGGTAGCTTGAAGATGGGTGGACTTCAACTCCCAGAATCCCCCAGCCAGCGCTGCTGGCTGGGGGATTCTGGGATTTGAAGTCCACCCATCTTCAAGCTACCAAGGTTGAGAAACACTGCTCTAGAGCATCCATTTTAATCAAACTTCTTAATTTATGGAAAATTCATGGTCATAAAACTACTATACTACTGCAGTAATGAAAACAGGCATTATTTTTAAAGCACCTCTATTCTAGTTCAAAGCTCTCTCTTCTCCCCGACTTTACACACATATTCACACCACACACCTCTGCTGGAGATTGGAGATGTAAGATGAAACTATTACTGGGAAGAGAATAAGGTGCACTTAAAGAATCATGGACAAACTTAACGCAGGAATTAAAGACCTGATCTTTCACCTTTTGATCAGGGTGTGGTGGAAACAGCGAATCTGGTGGTCTTATTTGAGGTCAGCTGCCCTTCAATGTTTAGTCATCACCATCACAAAAAGGGCACAATAATTCAGGCAAGAAGGGAAGTTGGGGGATTGATTTAGATCCCAGGAGGTGTCTCCTCTAACCTCATCCCTCTTAGCACCAGGTCAGGCCTGGGTTATGGGCAAAGTGCAGCAGGATGAATGGGCTCCTGCATTCACCTTCCTGCAGCTGTTGTGTGAATCCTACAGCTTCCTTGTCTTCTTTACAGAGGAATAACCAATCTTGTTTCAGAAATATCCAGGGACTTTTTGGCACAATTTAATAACAGGAAAAGGAAGGGGAGGAATTATCAGAGATTTTTTTAGGGGGGAAAAAAATCACACATTTTTTTTTAACTTCACCTTTTGCATCAGAGAATTTGTCAAACCAATTTGCAAATTTCAAAAGCAGAGTTTAAATTTGTGCAGAACAGTCACTTCAATTAAACGTTACTCCACTGGGGATTAGGCACCCATCAGTTGCAATTCTGAAAATGTTTCTAACTGCAAGTGACATATTGGTAGGATAATAACAATGGAGCACAAATTGGTACAAATAATAATAATAAGCAGGAACTGGCAGGACCACAAAATAGACAAGGTAATAGAAAACGAAAAAGCTAACGTGGTCTGGGACTTTAGAATTCAAACAGACAAGCATCTGCCACACAACATCCCAAGCTTTAATAATTATTGATTAGAAAGAAAAAAAAAGTCCAGTGTTGCAGTACCTGCAGACAGCAGACTAGGAGAAAAAGAACTGGAGAAAAATCACAAAATACAAAGAAGACCAACTGTGGCAAAAGAAAGCAAAGATAGTATCATTAGTAATAGGTCCCTTGGGTGCAATCCCAAAACATCTGGAGCTCCACTTGAACACCATCATTAACAAAATCACCATCAGTCAATTTCAAAAGGCAGTTTTACTTGGAATAACTCACAGCCTGTGATAATACCTTTAAACACCATCAAACAACAACAACATTTGCCTATCCCAGGTCCTTGGGAAGGACTCGATGGGTGGACAAAAATGCCAAATCCAACCTAAAGCTCTGGCTGACTGTGTGACCAACCATAACAATGTATTAAACTTATATGCTGCCTGACGCCCAACAACTTTGAGCAGCTCACACTAATCAAACAAAGAAATCAAAATAAAGCCAAGGAAAGAGAAAAATAAAAGATGGCAAGGACAACGAAGTGAAGGGTTTCACACTCCCTTGCCAAAGACCTGAATGAAGAGCTACATCTTCACCATTCTTCTGAACAACAGAGTGGGGATCATCCAGATATCGGGGGGTGGGAGGGGGGACCTCATTCTGGAGGGCAGGCACTGCAACAGAAAGCTGGTGTGCTTCTGGGGTCCTGATAAATGACATTGTTTAATCAAAGGTATTGGAGCATGTCAAGCTGCAAGATTGAAATGGTACCATTGTAAGAAACGTTAAATACTGTTTGGAACTACTGTTGGGTATTCCATGCAGAATATAGAATTTAATATTCATTTTGATTACAGGTTTTCAGAGGGTTTGATCTGCTGCTGTGGTACTGTCATGCTGAAGCACTGTGGGGAATTAAAATGATGGTCGTGCTGCAGGGTAGGTCTGCATTTGATAAAAAAGATGGCAATGCAGATCCTGTTAGGGGCACTGGGGACTGTTCAAGACATGCAGGTGATATTCAGCATACATCCAGTGACTGCTCCAAATCCAGCTTTATCGTCTATGCCTTCTCTCCATAAGTTCCCACGTGTTCACATTGTAAGTCCCACTGATTGCGGGATTACCAAAAGGCAATTCCATTTGCTAAGGCTCTCAAAATGAATTTCTAGGAGAAGCAAGACTAGATTTTTTGGCCTGGCTCTTCTGGCTTATATCGAAGCCCTGTGTTTGGGGTCCCTGATTTCCCCTGCAATAAGCAGTAAGTTTTACCATACACTA